TCTATCTATCTATCTATCTATCTATCTATCTATCTATCTATCTATCTATCTATCTATCTATCTATCTATCTATCTATCTATCTATCTATCTATCTATCTATCTATCTATCTATCTGAGTGTTGCAGAATTTAGGCTGCCTGCTTCATTCTTTGTTCTGCCCATTGCTCCTGTCTGATCCTTCCTTTGACTTTGTTCCTCATACCTCTCCCAAGTGTCCATTCCCCATGAGGGACACTCAGCCACAACCTCTTGCTATCCTCCATGTAGCCATATATTACTGCCTTGGGTTTGTTAAGTAGGAGAAAGGCAGCAAAGAAATGAAACAAAATGAATACATACATACATACATACATACATACATACATACATACATACATACATACATACATACATACATACATACATACATACATACATACATACATACATACATACATACATACATACCAATGTGAGCTGTGACAAGCTTAGTCTTTGCTACTGCGCAAAACCATTATTAACAGACTCATTTTACGAACAACATGGAGAAAATGCAAAAACAGCAAGGAGCTTTGTGATATCTCAAAGGCTAGCATAATTGATTTCACATAAGTGGTTCTCAAAGTTCTGTAATTCTATGTTCAGGTAGCAGCTATTGTTACTCTTGTGTCCCCCTATATCACTACATTTTTAATAATCTCTCTACAAACCTGTTATATAGCCCAATAGTTCCTTATATTCTCAAGAGCACCTAAGCATACGCTCTCCAGCTCCGTACCAAAGAGGAAGGGAGACTCTGTCAGGACATTTGAGAACAGAATGCAAAACCTTTGTAATATTGGCAGCTGGTACACCAGTTTCGCTCCTCTAATTTTAACTGGCAATTTGGCCCTGTTGTTTCATACTGGTTCTTTAAAATTAAATTTAGTCATCAGTACATATTTGCTTCATGTTTCAGTTCCAGTGTTGGGTGCAACACACCTCCCACGTGAAGAGTGAAATGTCTTCCATAATATTACTGCCCATCAGTTTTGATGAAAGAGGCCTGAAAATACAAGGGACAAATTGACAAAACCAGCACATTATATAGCTAACACAGGTCTGTCCTCTCTCCCTCTCCCCCCTCTCTCTCTCACACAAAGTGACAGACAGACAGACAGACAGACAGACAGACAGACAGACACTGAGGGGCTGGCACTCTTAGCTGGTAGACTATGTTCATGATACTCGATCATAAAATGTGCAGGTGTCAACTGTCAAACTTTGTACGAGCCTTTTATCTTGTTGATTTGCAATTAAAAGTGAACATATCTAAACTATGTATAAGTTAATTAAATTAGATTCATAATCACTACATGTTCCATTTGGTATTCCCAGCACACTTGTATTCTATTAAAAATTAACCATAATTAAAGTAGAATCAGGTTAGTAATGCATAGTCTGTTACTTTAATCCCAGAGTAGCAATAAACATATTCCTTTGATATGTTGATGAATAACCCTGGTTATTTGAGGAATTACTATGAGCTCTAAAAATCAAGAAAACCCTAGTTTGTGACATGTTTTCATCACTTTAATATTTCAAAATAAACAACAAAAGGGTAGTTAATTTTTTTTAGGGATTTTACCTTGTAAGTTTGCCTTTTATTTAAAGCTCAGATAGCAGTAAATAAATTAAGTGTTTGCCATAGCCGATGAGGTTTATGCATCTATTTATTTATGATATTCAGATGCCATACTTCCAATATAAATTACATACATATATAAACTAAGATAGTAAAGCTATAAAACATCATATTAAGTATACAATAGCTCTTTCCACATATTTTTCTGCCAGTCTTAGGTGTGAGGAAATAACTTATGGAAATAACTTTGCTAATATTATTCTATTCTTTAGAACATGCGTTGCATAGCCAGCAGTATGCCAGCCTGGCCTCCTGTGGGAGGGAGTTCCAAAGTCTGGAAGCAGTAATAGAGAAGGCCCTCTCCCATGTCCTTACTAGATGCACCTGTGAAGGTGGTGGGACCAAAAGAAAGGCTTCAAGAAATGGATAGATATTTAATGAAACAGCCAATAAGAGAAGAGAAGATAGAGCTAATAATTAAGAAATCAATAAAATAATGGGGAGAGAAAGGCTTTGGTTATCCTTGAAGCAACTGATAATTGTATTAATTTTAAAAATGAACAAAGACTTTACTGACCCTGAAGCTTTTAGACCTATTTCTCTACTAAATCAAGACACTAAGATATTTATGGTGATATTAGCAAAGAGAATGAATACTTCTCATTACTAAATATATTAAAGAAGATCCAAGTGGTTTTATGCCAGGAAGGCAAATCGCAAACATAACTAGGAGATTAAATGTAATAAATGGAATAGCTAAACAAAAAGTAAAGACAGGTATATAGTGGTGCCTCGACTTACGAACTTAATCCATTCCGGAAGATGGGCATAAGTCGAAATGGTCCTAAGTCAAAGCACCTTTCCCATTGAAATGCAATTAATCCGTTCTGGCCAAAGAAAAAAATCATGAAAAAAATCAATGCAAGACCCATCGGAAATGTGATTAATCCCTTCCGGCCAAAGTGGGGGGGGGGGGAAGAAAAGCAAGCAGAGCATGCAAGACAGATGGAAATGGAGAAAAAGCAGTGCAAAAAGCAAACGAAGCATGCAAGACAGATCAGAAATGGGGAAAGAGCAATGCAAAAAGCAAATGAAGATTGCAAGACAGATTGGAAATGGGGAAAGAGCAATGCAAAAAGCAAAGGAATCATGCAAGACAGATCAGAAATGGGAAAAGAGCAGAGCACCAACAAACAAACCCCCAAGACTCATCGGAAATGGGGGGGAAACACTCCAAAAAGCAAACAAACCCCCCAAAACCCATAGGAAATGGGGGGGACAAAAAAACAAGCAAACCCCCAAGACCCATCAAAAATGGGGGTGGGGAACCGAAAAACAAACAAATCCCAAGATCCTTCACAGCACAGAAACATAAAACCCCCAGCCCTAAACCACGCTGCAAAAACACCCAGAACAGTTTTTTAAAAGCAGAAAACAGTACCTTACCTTACCTTAGCAGGCAGCCTTCTCCAATCGCACTCTCTCTAACTGCTGGGGCGAAAGAGCTACAAAGAAGCAGCCTCGTCGACACCTACAGTTAGAAATTTTAATTTCCCCTGCCTTTTTCTGTTTGTAAGTGGAAGCTCCGGTTGCAAGTAGAAGCAAAATTTTGCAGCCGGAGCTGGTCGTAAGTAGGGATGTTCATAAGTCGAGACATCACTATACTTTCATTAGTAATTTTTAAGGCACTTCATTGTGTGGAATGGCCAACATTAAAAATAATAATTAAAGTATTAGGCTTTGATAACCATTTTAAAGGAATAATAGATTAATTATTCTAAGAGAATACGGCAGCTGTATAAATGATGGAATAATGGAAGAAATATCTCTAAGCTGAGGTACTAGACAATGCTTCCTTTCCCCTGTATTTTCTTTTACTTGTAGAACTATTAGTGAATGTTACTAGAGAAGATAAAGGATTCTATGTATTGGTATTAAATATAGAGCTAAAATTAAAGGGACATAGTGGTGCTGTGGGTTAAACCGCTGAAGCCTCTGTGCTGCAAGATCAGAAGACGTGCAGTCATAAGATCGAATCCACATGATGGAGTGAGCCCCCATCGCTTGTCCCAGCTCCCGCCAACCTAACGGTTTGAAAGCATGCAAAATGCAAAAAATTCAAGTAGATAAATAGGTACCACCTCGGCATTCCGTGTCTAGTCGCGCTGGCCAAGTGACCACGGAGGATTGTCTGAGGACAAAACGCTAGCTCTATGGATTAGAAACGGAGATGATCACTGCCGCCTAGAGTCAGACACAACTGGACAAATTGTAAAGTGGAACCTTTTATAGAACTAAAATTAGTTTAGCTGGCTGGTTAGCTCAGTGGTTTAGATATCTGATTATGGAGCCAGAGTCTGGGAGTTTGATTCCCCACTGGAACTAGAGCCAGCCTGTGCAGCCTTGGGCAAGCTGCACAGTCTCAGTGCACCCCCAGAAGAAGAGAATGTTAAACCACTTCTGAGTATTCTCTTACTTGAAAACCCTGGAAAAGAGTCATCATAAGTCAGAGTTGACTTTATGACACATCATTATTATTGATTAAAATTAGTTTATTCACTGATGATACCTTATTAACTTTAGAATCACATTTAGTATAGTAAAACTACATAATAAAAGAATTTGGAGAGATAATTAGATTAAATCAGAATTGATTAATCAAATTGACAATTAGATTAAATCGGAATTTAAAACAAAGAAAAGGGGAAAAATAGAAAAGAAATGGATATTAACATTAAAGACTATTAAGTATTTAGGTATAAATATCCCAACCAATTTGGAAAAAACTGAAGAAGAAAAGTTTTAAAATAGAGTATATCATATATAAAAATAAAGATTTTTTTATGTGTACAATGACTGGTGTACCCTGAGTCAGTGAATCAGTACCATATTTTTCCATGTATAATAGGCCACCGCATATAAGATGCCCCCTTTTCTAACCCAGAATTTCTTTATTCACAAGAAAGTGGAGGGGGAAGGCAGGGATCAAAGCTCTCCGAAGAAAGTGGAGGGGAAAGCACTTTCCTTGCTAGAAAGTGGAGGGGGCAAGCAGGAATCGGTTTTATGAATCACTTTGATGATTCCTGCTTTCCCCCTCCACTTCCCTCTCAAGAAAGCACTTTCTAGGAATCATCAAAGCACTTTGATTCCTGCTTTTCTCCTTCACTTTCTAGCAAGGAAAGTGCTTTCTCCCTCCACTTTCTTTGGAAGAAAGTGAAGGGGGGAAAGCAGGAATCACTTTGATGAATCACTTAGAGGACTCCTGCTTTTCCCCTCCACTTTCTTCGCAAGAAAGTGCTTTCCCCCTCCATGTTCTTCACATGAAATGGAGGGGAAAAGCAGGGATCAAAGCACTTTGATCCCTCCCCCTCCTTACTTCCATGTATAAGACAACCCTACATTTTAAATCTAATTGTTTTAGAGAAAAGTATTATCTTATACATGGAAAAATACAGTAATTTGATATCTTTTCAAAATTATGGGCCATGCATCTTTCTTTTTAAGTCTCTTTCCAGCCTTTCCTTTTGTTTTTCTCTTAGAATGAGATTTCACATATTTTCTGCAATCCCTTTGTTCTTCAGATTTAAAATGAGTACATCTCCCATTGGTTGAGGATTCTTTTGGGAATGGGCAATCTTTTGCCATATGACCCATCTTCCCAAAGGTCTAGCAGCTGCACGATTGGCAGCCATGCCCTTCCTATTGCCTTTCCCACTCAACATGAAATTTAGTCTATGCACTCTTCTCTCAGACAACACAAACACTCATGGAAACCTACTTGTTTGCTATACAAGATAGATAAAAAAGCATCAAAACATTCACATAGTGATTCTGTTAGAAATCCTATTTTATGTCTGTCAGTCAGTTCAAAGCTAGGTATGTTTAAACTGTCAAACACTGCTAATAAAGCAGAAATGTGTTTTTCACAATCTTGTTTGTTTTAAGATTGAACCATACAGGTTCCCTAATAAAAATTGTCTGTTATTTAGAGCTGGATATGATCCCTGAAGTGCTTCTAGCATTTCAATTGTAGCTTTGCAGCCTTTAATATGCATCATCCGTTTATCTGAGAGGCTTAATGAAATCATTGTTTTTCCTATAGAATCTTCATCTTCCCATTTACCTTTGGCTTGTGCTTCTGTTGGTCTTTGTTTTTCAAACAACCATGCACATTTAAAGCTCTGAGATTAAACTGTAACCACTCTTTCCATTGAGAGTAATTCAGAGATGTTCACTCTGGAAATGTCCGAAGAACACTTAGCAGAGAGGAGGGTCTCTCTTTGAATTTGGATGGAACTATTGCTTAGTGCTGGACAGAGAAAATCATCCCAGCCCAGACAAGTCACTTCCACTCATGAGAACCACAAACAGCATGTAAGGTTGCAAACCAAACTCTAACAATATAAAAGTTAAGAGGGGGAAATAACAAGCAGAGAGGAATTTATAATTAAATGGGGAGATTTTTTAAAATGTATTAATAAAATTAGGAAGAGTCAATAAAATTCCGGAAGGGAGATAGGGCTCCAGAATGATAAGTAGTATGTTACTCCCAAATGGTCCCTGGTGGAGTGCACTGTATATTTAGAGGTTCATTTTTTCAATGTTTTTTTTCTTTTTGTTTGTGTGTGTGTTTTTGTATAAATATTTTTTAAACATGCATTGCAATATTCTTCTTTTCCTAGTAAAGGAATTCCATTGCTTTTCCAAGGAGTCTCCATACTTCAGTGTCTCCAGTATAGTCTTAAGACCCTTGCTGGCTCAAAATTTAAAAATACTATAAGTTGAAAACCTTTTTGTTTTATTTATTTTTTATTATAGTTTGAAGGTACTCAGATTCTGATACAGGCAGATTCCTGAAGGGAACAAACCTGAAGCTGAGGAAAGCCATTAAGAATGCCTGCCTGTTTGAACTTGGCACTCGGAGTGTATAAAAGCAAGAGAGCAGTCCAGATTGATGTGTGAGATGACAGTGAGATATGGGAAGATAGCAGCCTCTAAGATACAGTACATAGGATCTAAGCCATATTAACTTTGCGTACATGGCACTTCTGTTTTGCTGCCTCTGCAATGATGGGTTGGAAAACAGGCCCTGTTTTTCTACAAGCATGTAATTATAAAGTCTATTATTGCCAATTAGAGCTACAGGGTGAGAAATCCAAAAATAGGGCTAGCAATTATTTCCTTTAATTACTTTGGAAGATGTGAAACAATGTCTGCTTAAACACATTTACAGAATAAGCTTTAAACTGGAATAAACCAGCAAGAATTGCTGACCTCAGTGACTCAGGTATCTCACCGCAGATTATGGTCTTCCTTATCGTCTGTATACATTAAACTGAGTGAAGCTGCAGAAAGTAGAAGCACATCTCCGTTGCACTTTGCTAAAAGGAGCTGCACTTCATTGGTTTAAGACAGAATATTGTGTTTCAGTTTCCATTTTGGTTAGAATTCATCAACCCAGAATACTATCCAGAAACAGTCTCTCAAGTTTACTATAGCTCTCTTATTGATACTGACGCTTTGAAAATAGATCTTCAATGAAGCCGAATCTCTTTGTGTAGCCCCATTTGGTTACTATCCATCATAATAAATGAAACAGCAGGCATCCCATTTGCTTAATTTTCAAGGAGCTTGTAAAGTAGCTTTTTGTTCCATTTTGGAGTTTCTGATTGTATTCAAGAAGTACACAGAACACTAAATCAATTTTCCCCATACAAACCGCTTTTGTAGATTAAGGCCAAATGGACAATTAATAAATTGTTTGTCAGGAAACAAAAGAACAGTAAATATGAAGTCCAATTCAAGGCCCCTGTTTTATTTCAAAACAAGGACGATACAGCCAAAATTAGGTACTAAGTTTCATTTCGGTAGGAAAGTTAAGCATGTGCTGAATTCCCTTGCACTGAAATCATTGACTTAAAGGTATTTAAATCTAGGTGAGCAATTTATTTGGTATATTTTTGTCTTGAATTACCACCAGAATTCGTTCTTCAGTGCTGCTCAAAAAAAGTACATTGAACAATAAAATAATGTAAAATAAAGGAAACTGAAGTAAAAAATGGGAATTAAAAGAACGTTAGGAAAAGTCATATATTTAAAGGTTTGGTTGAATAAGTGTGTTACTGTCTGGTGTCTAAAGAAGGACAGAATCGGCAACTAGAGAATATGCTTGAATGAGAGCCTATCCCACAGCTGGGATAACTGGAAAAAGAGACAACCACGTGCCAAGCTATATGCTGCCTCGTTTTCTGATGAGTTATCGGATCACTTAAGAACACAATTTAAATAGCATAATTCCAGAATACATCAGGACAATTATACTGGTGCAACAGCTTTATTGTACTTTGTCATCATGTTATATCCATACGAATATTTATTAGGAATATGATTAAGGAAATTAGTAGGGAACTGTAGCAGACTTTGAAATGAAGGGAAATGGAGGAAAAGTGGAGAGGAGTTCAGAGTGTGCATGATGTGAGAGTTGGACAAATTAATTGAGATTACTGCTCAGCAGTAATTTGGATTACTGTTACATAACATGTTTTAAGGGAGAAACGTCAGATTCAGTCCTCTGTATTTTGTGTTGCTTTTCCATACAAAATGGAAAGTCCATTTATTTGAAAATCTACATTTCTCTTAATAACACCTACCTGTCCTTTGAAGGTAAAGATACTCAGAGCAAGACTTTCTTGAAGTGTGTAACATCTATGGAACTAAATCCTTCTGCTTGTCTCAGCTGGAGGATTTTACATAAGGATTGGTTCAGCAAGTGATTGAATGGGTCTATTGTAGTTAACAGCTGGATTTAGGCCACGGAAGCTGATACAGGAGGAGACTGTTATTTCAGACATAAATTGATATTTACCAGGTTGTTTAAGGCTTTGTAAAGTAAAATAAACAAAAAGAAAGCCGACTTCTGCCAGTGTGTATTTTTATTAATCTTCAAGATTACTGTGCTGCCATGTTCTGAAACAATTAAAGTTGCCATATTTCATACAAGAAATCCAATTTTAATACACTGTAGTAATGTAACCTAGTCATTAACATGACATTGACAACTCCATCAAGACCAACCAGATGGTACGTATCTCAGTCAAATTGGCTTAAGATCATAGGAAAGTTACCTGTGGCCATCATCTGAAAGGGAGACTGTAGCCACATGGAGGACAGGTTTAAATGCTGTCCACCCTCTGCATTTTTTAGATGATGTACTTCCACTGCTGGCCTGCATCTTTTTTCATGATGTGAGTTCTGAAGCAATTTTTAGAATCAGCACTTCAAATTTCCAAGATAATGTTATTTCTTACTGATACTAAAATGAAATTATGACATGTTAGTAATTTTTTTTTCAGTATTCTGAAGTTCTCAGAATCAACATATACACCACCTTCATATATATTAGACATGGAGAAAGCTGCTAAACAAGGAGACATTGTTTTAGTGTCTGGCATGAAAACAGGGAGCTCAAAATTAAAAGCAAAAATACAGGAACCTGTTTATAAGGTAAGGTACTTTTAAATTGTGATTTTAAAACAACAGAGGGTCTTCTGGCACCTTAAAGACTAATAAGTTGTATTTGGCATAAGCACTTTAAAGACTAAAACAGTGTTTAGGCATGAGCTTTTGTGCATGAGACAAAGAGTAAAGGTAGGATATGGAGGCTAGGTTACAACATTTCATGTTCTGGGTTTCGTTAGTGTACATCCTCAAACATAACAAAGGGTTCTGCTCTCCTCCTTCTGACAGCCATTTGTAGCATCTGAAAAACCTCTTCTAGAAGGTATTCCATTCTTCAGATGCTACTTTTTCAGTTGTGCAGGGTTGAAATTTACAGCTGGGTCCTGGACATTGACACAGATACTGTGAATAGAAGAATCCTTTACAGTTTTGTAAAGTAAGCTACAAAAGCAGTATATGATTAGTTTTGTTATGTACCATCAAGCTGTTTCTGGCTTCCGTCCATCTAATGAATTAATGAATACAGTTCAACATGAAAGGTTCTGTCATGACCAGTTCTGCTCAGGTCTTACAAACTAAATAGCATAGTTTCTTTTATGTGGAAGCTAACCATCAAATGTTAGCACTTCCTCTTTTCCCAAGTCTTCTGCTTTCCTTAACTTTAATGTTTTCCCCTTCAAGTCTTGTCTTCATATTGTATATCAAATGTATGGTAGCCTCAGTTTAGTGACTGTGGCTTCTAGTAAAAGTTGAGGGTTTTCCTAAGTACTAGGAAAAGTTGAATGTAGAATGAAAAAGCAGACTTAATATGGATTGATTGATTCAGCTAAGAATTCACAGCCTTTAATTTGCAAGAATTAATGCAGGCTTATTAATTATTCTCTAGAAGTTGGCCAGTTGCCATAGACTTCTTGCTCTTCCTTCCTTCTTGCACTTCCTTGATCGTCCTTTTGTCATCTGCTTGTGACCATGCCCCTTGCCATTTCATGGTTGTCGATATTTCTACACATACATGTATGAGTGGTAAAAGCAGCTTAGAAATTGAATCAACTACTGAGAGGCAGAGGTATGAACTGCATAGCCTGCAGATAGTGTGCAGATGCCTAAGAAGCTCTGCAGACCACAAGAATGACCTCCTCTAGCCACCAACCCCTGCCAACCAGTAGGCATCCTTCAGTCTCAAGAGACTATGGTAACGTGCTCTGAATAGAGGACTTGGAACAGTATCTAGTGTGGCTGATAAGGCCACTTCAAGAGTGACAATCCCTTCCACACAGAAGACAAATACAGTCTGCTCCCTATCCAGCTCTCTGATTTTGCTGCTTTCAGGACTGCCTCTTCACCTCGGCCTGATGAACAAGTGTCTCTTCAAATTGGGAGAGGCCATCCTGCACCGCTTGCCTCCAGGCTGAACACTGAGATGTCAAGTTTTCAGTTGAGATCCATTCCTAAGGCCTTCAGATATCGCTTGCAGATATCCTTGTATCACAGCTTTGGTCTCCCTCTGGGGTGCTTTCCCTGCACTAATTCTCCATAAAGAGAACCCACCAATCAGCCATTCTCACGACATGCCCAAGCCAACATAGACGTCACTGTTTCAGCAACGTATACATGCTAAAAATTCCAGCTCATTCCAGCTACTCTGTTTGAAACTTTGTCCTGTCAGGTGATGCCAAAAATGCATTGGGGACAACGCATATGGAAGGTGTTCAGCTTCATCTCCTGCCATGCACATAGGGTCTCGGACTCACTGCAGGATAGGAGTGTGCTCAGGACACAGGCTCTATAGACCTGGATCTTGGTATATGCCATCAGCTTCTTTGTGAGTCTAGAGAACATGGTAGCTGCTTTGTCAATGCATTTATCCAGCTCGACATCTAGGGAGAAAATGTCAGAGATTGTTGAACCAAGGTACACGAAATCATGAATAACCTCCTGTTCTTGTGTGCAGATGGTAATAGAGGGAGGTGAGTCCATACCCTGCCCCATGACTTGTGTTTTCTTCAGGTTGATTGTTAATCCAAAATCTTGGCAGGCCTTGCTAAAATGATTCATAAGTTGTTGGAGGTCTTTGGCAGAATGGGCAACAGCTGCATCATCGGCGAAGAGGAACTCCCACATGTATTTCAGCTGGACTTTGGTCTTTGCTCTCAATCTAGAGAGATTTGAAAGCTTTCCATCTGATCTAGTCCGGAGATTAGACACCTGTTGCAGTTCCAAAAGCGTGCTTCAGCATGACAGCAAAATGATCCCAAACAGAGTCCACACAAGGACACAGCCCTTTGACATTCAAAGTGTCACTCCAATTTGAATGTCAAAGGGATCTGATATTGAGCTATCAAAAACTACAGTGCCCTTCATTTCCTCATGAAAGGGTCTGATGATGTTAAGGAGCTGAGGTGGATATCCAATCTTGTAAAGTATTTTAAAAAGGCAGTCCTTGCTAACCAAATCAAAGGCCTTTGTGAGATCTATGAAGGCCGCAAAGAGTGGCTGTCATTCCCTACATTTCTCTTGCAACTGTCTGTGGGAAAATGCCATGTCAGTGGTGGATCTGTTAGCTTGGAATCCACACTGTGATTCTGGATAGACTAGGTCTGCAAGCACCTGGAGTCTCTTCAGCACAACACAGGCAAGCAGCTTCCTTACAACGCTGAGAAGAGAGATGCCATGGTAGTTATTGCAGTCCCCCCTGTCACCTTTGTTCTTGTACAATGTGACAATGTTTGCATCCTTCATGTCCTGTGGTACTCCACCTTCCCTCCAGCAAAGGCAAAAGATTTCATACAGCTCAGTGGTGATAATCTCTTTACAGCCCTTCAGCAGGATGCTATCCTTCCCAGGTGCCTTGCCAGAGATGAGGGAATTCACCCCTCCACACAAACGTTTGAATCAAAAAGAATTGTCATTCCTGGAAATCTGTAAAGCATGATTCAGAACTTTGTTTTAATAGGAGTCAGGGCTGGGGAGTTTATTTACTGCTTTTAAATTTTTCTGGTGTTGAACCCCATTGAGAAAATCCCATTTTCCCCCAAGGAAAGATAGATTTGCCCTGGTCTTCTGTGCTTGCTCTCCCAGACCTAGAAAGATGACAGGTTATTCCTCATTGGACATCTTCAAGCAGAGGCTGAAAAGCAGTCTGTTATGAATGCACTAATTCTAGATGTTCTGCCTAGGAACTGGGGGTGGGGGGATTGCTTACCTAGCCACCTCTAATACTGTGATGCTTCCTCCTCCCTGTTTTTTTATTTTTGCCAAGAAGAAACATACACCTGTTCTAGAGGAATGCTTCATGGAGCTACTGTCTATTTTACTCTGTTCAATTATTTTGCTCACTAATCACTACTCATTATCATTACTCTATGTTATGTACAGAACATCAAAGAAGTGAGTAATAGCATACACAGGCTTCTATTTTTGGAGAAATGAAAAGTTGCAAAATCATGCTATGTTTTCTGCATATTACAGTTCCTCTGGGTATTCAGATGCCTGACAGATTAAAAATAAGTATCCATAACAACTGTGAATTTTGCAGCACCAACACTAGTGAGGTAAAGTCAGCAGAATTCTCCAATGGTTGAACATGATCAGCAGAATTGTATATACTGTATATGGGCTATGTGCAGTTGTTAAAAATTGAAAGAAATCAATGGGAACTCAAGTGGAAAATGCACAGGAGTGAAAGGAATGGTTTGGTTCTCATTTAGTCAAACCTAGAACAGAGATTGTTTAAGCAGATGTTCTGACATTTTATCTACAGGTTAACATATTCAAGAAATAAAACACTTGGGTGTTCACATCCAAATTTGAATGAAGTATAATGCAAATAAAACTTCTACTAAGCATTTTTATTCTGGAAGCTGATTGAAATGAAATAAGCATAAAATCTCAAGATTCACTTTTTATAATTCCTTAGGCAGCTGTCCAAAATTCAGGTTTAATGAACTATGAATCACTGAACATCTGCTTGAAGTCGGCTTATACCTACACTCCCAATCTTGTGTCTTATTATGGAGGTGAAAGTTTTTATACACTTGATGCTTGCTCTGATGCTCTTCTTAGCCCTACATCTCTTTCTTCTTTATCTTAGTGTGATTGGACAAACTAAGGCATTACATTCCCATCTCCTTTATTCTCAGTAATGATGGACTTAAACTACCTGCATATGAAGATCTCTTTACTTACAGTCATTTCCAGCAGTACTGTGCTGAGGATGGCTATTTCTGGTGCTATTCAGCCTGGTGTAGAGAGAGGTGCTTGTTTTAGATGGAGAGGGTGGTCCATGGGAGTGACTTTCTCTGTGCCCCACCTTCCTCTGTTCAAATGTGTTGCACACGGTGTCCAACACAGCTACTTTATGGGCAGGATGGAGCTTGAGGAGAAGGATGTGTTAGGATAATCATTCTCTACTTACTGCCCTTCTCATCATAAAGGTGCCCCACTTAGGGCCTAATCACAATGAATTGAATCATTTCTTTTTTTCTCCTTTTTTAATATTGATATATTTGTATGTATAATTAGGTTGTGTGTGTGTGTGTGTGTGTGTGTGTGTGTACGCACAAACAGCACCTGACTAGGTGTGACAGTCATGTGAATGGGTCCAGAATGTGTACACACACATACACACACAAGAGCCATTCACATGACTGTCACTTAAATTGGTGCATTTCTTGCTATTTGTACCAATCTGTAGGCTACATATACCATCAAATATAAATGGGTTCATTTTCTATCCTTTTTCTCAGTTCCTGATGCCCTAACATTTTATTTTATTTTTTTAAAAATTGTAAGTGCTTTATTGCTATAGTGGCATATATACTGGTGTGTGATAAAGAAACAAGTAGAAGGCAGTACTGTATTGGAATTTGATTAATAACCTTCCATGGGCGCTGTGGGCTAAACCGCAGAAGCCTATGCTGCAGGGTCAGAAGACCAAGCAGTCGTAAGATCAAATCCACGTGACGGAGTGAGCGCCCGTCACTTGTCTCAGCTCCCGCCAACCTAGCGGTTCAAAAGCATGCATATGCAAGTAGATTAATAGGGACCCCCTCGGTGGGAAGGTAACAGCATTCCATGTCTAAGTCGCACTGGCCATGTGACCACGGAAGATTGTCGTCAGACAAAATGCTGGCTCTATGGCTTGGAAACGGGGATGAGCACCGCCCCCTAGAGTCGAACACGACTGGACAAAAATTGTCAAGGGGAACCTTTACCCTTTACCTTTACCTTCCATGGACACCTCACCAGTTGTTACATGAGAAGACACCAGGGGAAAAATTGAACCATACAAGACCAGGGAAGACATCAGCTAAGCAATACATGTTCATGATTTCCAATCTTATACAGCTTCTTTCAGCTACTTTATAATTTGGCCAGTATCTGCTTTGATTACATACAACCAACGTAGTCTTTGGTGTCCTTGTTGTCTTTTACCGCTGACCATCCTGAGCATAACATCTTTCTCCAACAATGTTGATCGCATGACAAGGCCAAAATAACTAAGTTTTGTTATTTTGCTTTCCAGTGACATGCCCTATTTTATGTGCTTCAGCACTTCTTTATTATCTTTCCAGTCCATGGAAGGCACAAGAGCCTCCCCCAACACCATAGTTCAAAATAATCAGCTTTCCTTCTGTCCATCTTCTTCACTGGCCAGCTTTCACAGCCATATGTAGTTATGGGGAACATGATAGTGCAAACTAATCTGCACTTGGTCATCAAGCTGATATCCTTAGTTTTCCATATTTGATTCAGACTCATCATTGCTTTGCCACCTAGCATGATTCAATGTTTTTTTGTTTTTTTTTGGCTGCAGTCGCCATTTTGATTGACCGGTGAACCTCAAAAGATTAATTCTTCCACACATTCACCTCCTCTCCACTGAATTACTCTCCCTCTTTTTTTATTGACACTTCCTTTGCGAAGAATGTGATGTTGCTGCAGTGGAGACATTCCTGCTCACATGTAAGCTCTTTGTATGGGCAAGAACCTCAATTTTTTACCTGGTTTATGTTTAGAGACTACACATAGGCAAGAACATATTTCCTGGACACATGCTAAATTCCCCATGCAGAAAGTAACGACGGTGAGAAGCTGATTATCCACTGCTCTCAAAGCATGGGTATGTACTTGTAGAGCAGTGGTTCCCAACCTTGGATAATCCAGATGTTCTTTAGACTGCAGTTCCCAGAAACTCTGACCAGTACAGCTGGTGGCAAAGGCTTCTGGGAACTGCAGTTCAAGAACACCTGGGTTAGCCAAGGTTGGGAACCACTACTGTGGAGGAACAGAACTTCCAGAGAAGTTTTCCACTTCTGTGGAACACAAAGGGAAGATGTCTCCTCCTTGGAGGGACAAGATAAAGAAAAGGAAGTGATGTCAGCAACCATAACAATTGTAATCTAAGTTCAAAGGAGGGATAGTGCAAGTCAAAGCAAGTAAAGCCCAGAGAAAGAAAGAAAAAGCTATTTAAAGACTACAATTCCAGGCCATTACCAGCAACATTTCCTTTTTGGAAACAGTAAAAAAAGAACAAAGGCTCTATCCATTTGCTAGTCCCAGCAAAACCTTTCCGCTCCTCAACCAGCCCTGGCATAGCCCTATCCACCTTGCTCTTTTGCAGAGATCTCCAGGGCACTTGTGTTTCAGCAGGCACGGCTTCCCTTCTCTCTCCTACCCCCCCAGGAGAATGAAGTGGTAGCAGGAACAAAAGGCAGTCCCAGCTGCTGCTCCCTTGCCATCTTCAGAGACCGATTGTGTCTCTTTGTATGTCTCTTTGTATGGTCAGCATTAATATTATATCAATGCTATGTTGCAAAAGGTCCTGATGGTGGGCACTGCTGGAAGAATGGTTTGGAAAACCACCAGCACAGGGCAGTTTCTCAGCCATCCTTCCCACAGTGCTTGGCTCAAGGACTCCTTCGACACAAGTACGTATTCCCCTATGGTCACTGCCACTATCCTGGTATCCTCCTTTTTGGACAGCTAGTGATGGCACCACAAGCACCATCTTCTTTCTCCTCTTTGTGTGGGTGCTGCAAGATCCACTTGCTCCTCTTCCTCCTCAAGCAAAGGAGGTGCTGGTGCCACAACCCTTGTTGGGGTCAATATGGGAATGTCTGGGCCACTCTGGCTTGTACCAAATAAACTTGTCAGTCTTTAAGGTGCCACAAGAATGTGATCATTCACATGCTATTCAGGATCATTAGCAAAGCAACATGGCTGATAAAGGACCCATAAATATGTTTAAGAACTCCTTACCCAACTTGTAAAGTAGTAGAAAATATTGAACTGTACACCTTGGAAAAGATTAGATTCTCTTTTTATAACCAACTTAATTTGTCCTTTGTAATTTTATACCTCTGGCTACCTTTAGAGTATTAACAACTACATTGTGTGTTTATGTGTAGAGGTGTTTTTTGTACTTTTTTGTATATTAAACAAGAGAATACTATCTTCTATCTTCTGACCTAGTCCTGGCAATTTCTGTTATGTTACGTTACTGTTATGTATAGATTTATAATAATTATTATTATAGATTTATAGAATGGGGGGCTTGCAAAGTTTGTGTATTATGTATTCTTGAAGGCTGTGTATTATTTTGTGTATCATCATTTTGTCTATTATCATTTTGATTTGCTCATTTTCATGTCCCAAAATGTAATGGATTTAATGTTGCTCCAAAACAAGCATTTCTAGGTGGTACATTCTTAAGAGTTTTACTTTAACAAATGTTTACAATGAAGCTCAGTATTTCATCAGAAATACCTGTGCATAACTGTTTTTTTATTTAAATTTTCATTTTAACCAACAGAATGTGCCTGCTGCTGAAGTCAGATTGTTTATTTTGGAAAACATAATTCTTAATCCAGCTTATGATATCTACCTTTTGGTAGGAATGTCAGTGCGATACAGAGTTGAGAAAATAAGGCGAGGGAAAATTACAGGTTTGTCTCTCCCCCCAACCCCCAGCGTTGATGTTATACTGTTTCATAGATCTGTGTGCTGGTTTAGACCCAATTTAAGTCAATAAGACTGGTACAGAGTCCATGAGTCAGATTTTGATGTGTCCTTTGATACTCAGTCTGGCAGTATTTTCTTTTAAAATCTTGTTACTAAAAAGATGGTTTCAATTAGGCGGCATCATGTCAGTCTCAATGAATTCTTAGAAATGCCAACATGTACATGTCTGTACAAAGAAATTTATGATGACTGAAATCCAGTAGCAAGTCACAACTAGAGTAGAGCCATTTGAATCAGTGGATCTTATGGAGAAGTTGAGTCTCCGGATCCCCACTGATTCAGTGGCCTACTCTAATTGGCAACTTACTACTGGATTTCAACCACTGTGTCTTAGCAGCAAAACTCCTGTGCTCTCTTTTAATGATATAACAGAAGAATGCAGGCAAAATATATTGGTGTGTGTGTGTGTGTGTGTGTGTGTGTGTGTGTGTGTGTGTGAGAGAGAGAGAGAGAGAGAGAGAGAGAGAGAGAGAGAATGAAAGGCATGGAGGAACAGACACAAGAGAGAAGCAGACGAGTGTGGTGGGTGACACTGTGCAAAGGATTTATTCAAGTCACATAGTAAGTGCTGTTTGCGCTTCATGAAACAACAGTTGTATTCGCGAAGGCTTTCACGGCCGGGATCTAAGGGTTGTTGTGGGGTTTTCGGGCTCTTTGGCTGTGTTCTGAAGGTTGTTCTTCCTAACGTTTCACCAGTCTCTGTGGCCGGCATCTTCAGAGGACAGCACTCTGTGCTCTGGTGTAGTTGGCTTGGGAGTAAAGTATTTATGGCTGTGAGATGGGCTTTTGTCTTTTTCTGTAGATAGGTGACTAGTGTGTTGTTGTGTGTATTGTTGTGATAAAAAGAAGAGATTAGCTGTCCCTGTGGTTGATGGTGGTCATTAGCTGGTCTTTTGTGTGTAGTGATCCCCGGTCCTTGTGTTGTTGGGTAGAGTCCGTTGACCTTTTGCACGCTGTATTTTTGAGAGCTGGGAGCCAAGTTTTGTTGAGTTTCAAACTTTCCTCTTTTTTGTTGAAGTTCTGCTGGTGCTTGTGGATTTCAATGGCTTCCCTGTGCAGTCTGACATAATGATTGCTGGTGTTGTCCAGTATTTTGAAATAGAATTTCATGTCCAGTTTGTTTTAACTGGACATGAAACAAACTGGACATGAAATTCTATTTCAAAATACCGAAATATTGGACAACACCAGCAATCATTACGTCAGACTGCACAGGGAAGCACTGTCGGCATCGTTCAGTCTCAAGAGACTATGGTAACGTGCTCTGAATAGAAGTCTTGGAACAGCATCTAGTGTGGCTGAGAAGGCCAATTGGAGAGTGACAATCCCTTCCACAATGAAGGCAAATACAATCTGTCCCTTGTCCAGCTCCCTGACTTTGCTGGTTTCGGGACTGCCTCTTTGACTTGGCCTGCTGGACAAGGGTCTCTTCAAAAGAGGCCACTATGCACCGCCTGGCTCCGGGCTGAATGCTCAAGTGTCAAGGTTTCCCATCTGTTGAGGTCCATTCCTAAGGCCTTCAGATTCCGCTTGCAGATGTCCTTGTATTGCAGCTGTGGTCTTCCTCTGGGGCGACTTCCCTGCCCTAATTCTCCACACAGGATTTCTTTTGGAATCTGACCGTCTCACTTCACTTACTTATTTTTGAACTTAATTGGACTTAAGAGCAGCAGAATCTGACTCCAATCCATTTCTGAAATAATCAGGAGAGATGATTAAGATTTCTGCAATCTTTAGATAAAAGCAACAAATAAAACAGTACCTGAGAGATTTGTACCTCATCACATGCAGGAGCAGTATCTATTATTTTATTTTGGTCTGTATCTCATTCATGTAAAGCTCCAACTATGGAAGCTGCCAGAGCTATCTAACATGGTTTCAGTCTGACATGTCCAAGCGCATGTCCATCAATTCTCCAGATCACACAGCAGCTTACAGATTTGGATCTCCTTATACTAATTAGGATACTGGCCTTTATTGTAGAGGGAAAGACATTGAAACATGCCAAAGCAAAGTGTTTTCTGAATTTAGAAAAAATAGTCAATATAAATTTAATCTGAACATAGCAAACACATTTAAATATGTTGATTCTAATTTTGAGAGTTTTAAATCAATCGCCTGTGAGTCCATTTAATCTTGTCGTTGTTTTGTGCCATCAAGTGGGAACTGATTTATAGTGACTCTAATAGGGCTTTCAAGATAAGTGAGATATATAAGGAGTGGCTTTGCCAGTTCTACTCAGTGACTTTCCATGGCAGAGCGGGAATTCGAATCCTGAGTCCTAGTCTATCACTCTGTCCACTACACCACACTGGATATTGTAGGTGATCACGGAACAAAAGGAAGGCTAATGATGTGGGTGATCACAGACAATAGGAAGGCCATTAGCCTTTAGAGAGGTTGCAAAGAAGTCAACAAGCAGATGTCCGAGCCAGCGGAGCCTAAAGGCAATGCCTTGATAACTCTTTTATTAACTTAGCAAGGGCTACATCGTATGTTGTGAGAATTTAGATAGGATACTGGTTATCTAATCACCACTAGGATTGGCCAGAGAAAGTCTTTGAAGTTCACCCTAACTCTAAGCAGAAAGGCAGAATGAGAGGTCACCCCACCCACTGAGCTGCTGCTGCTTCTCTACCAGGAGAGTTTCTCTCACTGTAACAGATAATAACTTAATGGCTTTGGGCAGGAGCTTCCCACAGATATTATTTATGTTGTACTGTTTCTTTAAAGCCATTTGCCTGGCAATGGAAATTTTGATAGACGCTGTTCCAAGACCTCTATTCAGAGCATGTTACCATAGTCTCTCGAGACTGAAGGATGCCTACTCTATGAAAAGTTCTTAAGAATTTGTGCTATCATTTCATAAGCCATTCTGCTCTGGAACTTTATCCTAAAGACCTGGTTAAGTGAAATAAGTTGCGAAGCTTAAGTGTGACACAAACATTTGTTTATTTTTAAAGAATTAAATAACCACTAACTGAACATGTGCTAAACACAAATTTATAGAAAAATAGAAGATAGAAGATAGACGTTTATAGAAAAATAAAAGATCCAAATATTATCACCTCTTCAATTTCATTTTCACTGCTTTTTGTACCTTCTTACTTTTTGTGCAGGATTAATAATGCCATCGGATCACTATGAACTGCAGCTTCAGAACCACACACTCAGCCCTGGGGGAGATCCAGCGTGGCCAGTTGCCAAACTGGACTATGCAACATCCACAGTTACAGCGTTACGACATGGACAGACAAACATCGTACTTACCCACAAAAATATCCTTTCTGCATTATGTTTTCCAGATAAAGTTTTCCTCATTAGTTTTTTGATCATATTACATGGTGTGGCTTACATAGGAGCTGTAGGACTGGCCACCTTATTTTCAGAAGCCTCTTGGTGACTGTAGCAGCTGTCAGAAACAAAGCCACAATCTGCAGAGAGCCCCTTTCCAGCTCCCCCAGTGTCACCCCTACTTTTCAGTAAATACCCCTGCCATCAAATAGCTAAGGCCAGTACAGTGGTGCCTCGCATAGCGAGGTTAATCCATTCCGGATTAACCTTCGCTATAGCGAAAAAACGCTAAACAGAATTAAAAAAGCCATCGAAACGCATTGAACTTCGTTCAGTGCGTTCCTATGGCTTTAAAACTCACCGTTAAGCGATGTTCCTCCATAGCGCCGCCATTTTCGCGCCCTCGGTAAGCGAGGGCAGGGCGCGAAAATGCGGTGCGGACCTTCCGGCAGCCATTTTGGGACCGCCGATCAGCTGTTCTCCCCCGCTTCGTTATGCGATATTCGCTAAGCGAATCGCTTAGCAAATATCGCAAAGTGAAAAAACGCCATAGGGGCCATCGCTGAGCGAATGCTCCAGCGATGGCCCAGAGCCCCTCGTTAAGCGATTTCATCGCTCAGCGAGGCGCTCATTAAGCGAGGCACCACTGTATAAATGTAACTGTGATGATGTGATTCCTGTGTGAAACCCAGACCATTATTTTTGCATTACTACTGTGAACCTGACAGTGCCATCACATAGCACAATGTTTCTGCAAAGACCAGTATCAACAATGTATCTACTGTTTTTCATCCACAGGTGACGTACTGTTAGATATAGAGACTACTTCCGCATTTGTTTGTTAATTCAGGATGTTTCAGAGATAAATATTAGTATAATATATATATATTTGGTAGAGATGGAGGTATTCATATACAAGTACCACTATCCCTGCACAGGTGTTAACAAGAGTTCCAGCCCTATGGGGCCAGACAGTCCACTGCTACGGATGCGGACAGTGCAATTCTACCAATGGCTGCACAGTGCACAATCCGCTCGCCACTCCTGGCAGGAGGCAGGAGAACAAGCCTTGCTGCAAGGTCGAAGAGTGGCAAGCGGATCGCAAATATGAATACCCCCCCCCCATCTCTAATACGAATATCCCCCATCTCTAATATTTGGGCATAATGAAAAGCCATGATTTGTCACCTAATGAACCCCAGATTTGCACAGTCACCACTTCTCTCTTTATACAGCTGCGAGGAATAGATTTGAAGCATCTCCTTTTTTAAAAAAACAAAGCTCAGTACTCTGTTATATCCAAATCAGGATTGGCATTGTTGGCCTCTAGTCTGCTGTGGGACTATATATCCAATCAGCCTTTGCTGGCTAGGGCTGCTGGAAATTGTAGTCCATTAACATATGGAGGGCTGCAGTTGCCAGTGCTGATTTGGATATTAACATTTAAAAGGGAAGGCAGGTGCTTCTGATTTCTTGCTCACTGGTTTTAATTCTCGTTTATGGGATGGGAGGAAGGACCAAGGTACTGAATGCTGTTGTTGAAAGTTCTATTATCCAATATTTTCTAGTTGACTAACACTGCTTTGTAGCTTACTAAGCTTCTAATCTTTATCAGAATCTTTGGTCCTTGACTAAATTCCAAGTATTTCCATGCAAGGTGCTTCAAAGTTACCAAATGGCACCATTTATGTTGTGCAGCCAGGATACTTAGGTTAGTACTGGAGATTCAACCATGTTTCTTTCCAAAAAGAAAGGGGGGGGGAGAGAACTTCATTAGCACTTGTAGTGACGATCATTAAATAATTCCAGATGCAAATAAATATTATACAGTGGGGTCTTGACTTGAGAACTTAATCCGTATTGGAAGGCGGTTCTCAAGTCAAAAAGTCTGTAAGTCAAGTCTCCATTGACCTACAGTGCATTGAAAACCGATTAATCCTGTAACAGGCCGTTTTGGTTCCATTTTGGGTTTTTTCTGGTCTGTAAGTCAAATCTCAGTCTGCAAGTCAAACCTAAATTTTGTGGCCAGAAAAGTCTGTAACTCAAAAAGTCTGTAAATCAAGCCGTCTGTAAGTCAAGGGTCCACTGTATATTGATGTGTATTTACTGCAATTGTGAGTGGCTGATTAGTGGCCATGGAGTTTGCATATCGACAGTCATGTTCCGTAGTTAAATTCTCAAATATTTAATATCCAGGTACCGTATTATCAGTAAATATGCATGAACTGTAATAAAATTGAGCTGACTATGAACCACCTGTCTATTCTGTGCTTTTCCATTTTCTCAAGCCTTTTTCTAGATTTTCTTCATGTATACTGTCCTTTTTGCCCAAATGAGATTTATCTGAGCCTGATGCTAATTTGTAGCACAGCCATGATTCGTTTCAAAATGTCCTTTAACTTCATGTCCTTTAGCTTCTTTTAGTTCACTTTATTTAAGTTTCTTATGTTTCTAACTGTCTGACTCTCTGTTTTCAGATATGACAGTATGACTTGCAGTGTATAGGTAGTAGGGTTGGGACATTCATATTCCTCTCCCAGGGGAGACAAATATGAATATTGCCACCACAGGTGGCTGGGTCCTTTGGTGCTGCCCTGCCTCCCTGCGCTGCTGACTGCTCAGCAGCTGAGTGGGGAGACTCAGCTCATCCTGCCTCCTCACCAGGATGGTTAGCAGTGCAGGGAGGCGGAGCAAAGTCCACCAGCATGATTGGTGCAAGACAGATGACAACTGCCATGAGCACTGCACAGTGAGTGGTAAGTGGACTGGCATGTTCTGGGGGGTGGGTCCAAAGGGCCTGGCCACCTGTGGTAGTGATATTTGTAGTCATCTCCCTTGAGAAATGAGTACAAATATCCCATCTCCAATAGATTATACGTAAGTCAAAAGTGCCCAAATAACCTTCTTTTTTATGCTTACAATTTAATTTTCTTACATGCTCTTGGGACCAGAGGCCTAACTCATTTACTTTTATTATTTGTTTGTTTGTTTGTTTGTTTGTTTGTTTGTTTATTTATTTATTTATTTATTTATTTATTATTTACAATATTTTTAGCCGCACCATTGCCAGAGGCTTCTGGGCGGCGTACAGCATTAAAACTTAAAAACATAAAAAAACTAATTAATTAGTTAATTAGTTAGTTAGTTAGTTAGTTAGTTAGTTAGTTAGTTAGTTAGTTAGTTAGTTAGTTAGTTACATGTTATGAGGTTGATTCCAACTTATAGTGACTCCAGGATTTTCTATGCATGCAGAATTTAGAAGTCATCTAACACTCCCTTCTTCTGGGTGTGCTTTAGGACTGTATAGCTTGCCCAGGCTGGCTCTTCTTCTAAGAGGCACAGCAGAGAATCAAACAGCCAGGTAATTAACTCACTGAGCTATCCAAGCAGGTTCTGGTAAATTCCTCGAAGTCACATCAACAACACTTGGTTCCACTGTTCTTGGATTCTTTGGCCTTTCTTACTTTGTTCCTTGTCCCTCCCAACTTCTGCCACAACCTTTTTAAGACCTCCTACTTGTCCATATGGTTTGACTAGATGTTCTGGAGTCTTAGAATATAGCTGCATTACACAATTAAAGCCGTTTTATTCTGCTTTGACTGCCATGTTTCCCTCCTATTGAATCCTGGGATTTGTAGTTTTGTGAGGAACAAAAGTCTCTTTGCTGTTTTAGGGGAATGTGCTAGAGCTGCCTAGCAGAAAAGCCCTGGCGTAAAGTGGATTTCAGAAACAACCTGAAAATATATGTCTCCTGGACTAAAACAGTTGGGTTTTTGGAAGCTCTTTTGTTTACGTCCACCACCTTCTAATTAGGAAAGAATGTCTCAAGACAAATCTTAGTTCATTGGCCCATTGAGCAAGGGAAATAGGCACCTTTACACCTTCTCAGCCAGTGCCCTCCTTGCAGAAATTTGCAAAGTGGCCAACTAAAGCACCTTCAGTTTTTATCCATTAAAACTGATAGATATCAATCCGCCAAGACAGCTTTTGGTAGGTAGGTGGCTGAGACTGGCATGGACTTCTGTCTGTGAGTTCTTTTTCCTCCTAGGCATACTTCTGCTTAGGTATTCCCCCTACCTTGGTAGAGTTTGCTTCTGCGCAGTCCAGGACTGGTACACTGGACACTGACATGAGGCTCCATTCTAGTAGGTGCCGAGATGGAATTTATGTCCACCCAATCAATAACGTCACTAATCGGTCTCAAAACTGAAGCCAGGGTCTTTTCTTCAGTGAGACTATATTCTTTGTTGGTTCTGTCTTGAACTTTAGATAGAAAAAACACATCTGGAAAAGATACCTGAATAAAGTCAGAACATAACATACGAACAACCCTCTTTTATCATCCTGTCTTCCTGCCTCGCAATCTGGCTGGTAGCAAAGATTAACCCTTTGGATATTCTACCTCTATACCTACCATAATAGATCCTCATGGTAAGTCCCCAATACACCAGTTTGAGAGTGCGATTTGCTCAAGGCAATCCAATGAATTTCATGACAAAGTGGAAATTCAAATAGATCTCTTAAAGCTTCACCCAACACTATATCCATTTCCTGTCTTTGGTTTTACCCACCCACTCCTGGAAAAAAGAGATGGACAAAGGTGTTGGAGTTAAAAGGGCCACTTTATTAATTATATTTTAGCCACTCCCAACCTGCAGAGGGGCCTGAACGTAGGGCAGAAACCTGAGGCAGGCTTCAGGGGTACCTACTTTCGCTTTCCTGACACCCAACAGGCAAGTCCCAAACCCCTGGTCCGAGCTGTCCCCATGGCAGCTCATACCCAGCCAGCTAAAACAGGGAGTCCTTCCACAGCCTCCAGCCATCCAGTCATTGAACCAAAGGCTGGTTTGGGCCCCCTAAGCACCCCTTGTCATGGCAAGCAAATCTCATGATCCTAGTTGCCGAGATACAGTGCATAATAGCATCCTGTGGGCCTAATAGGAACTCACTGAAACTGACTTCCAATTCCACAATACCACCAATGTGACCTATTTAAATCAATGAACCCTCAAACAACCCTTAGCAACCCATGGGTCGCTGGTATGGGATAGGCAAAAGTATGTCCATCAACCATTTATGCCAATTTGATAAGACGGGCCTAAAATTTCTAAATAGAAATGGGTTGCCGATTGCGAAAGAGGGCTGGCTGGGGGTGGGCAGACCTGATGAAGCTCCGGCATAGTCCTGCCCCCTGCCCTGCCCCATATGAAGCACCCGTAGGAATCTTCACCTGCCCATCTCTCCCTCAGGCAAATAATCCCTCCAGTGCAGGGATCCATGCCAGCGGAGGTAAGCATTAACAAAATATACTTAGAAAGAGAGAAACTTTTAAATAGAATGTTATTATTCTGACAGCTGTTTATAAAACATACATTGTCATATTGTACATTGTGCAACGTATGATTTTCAGTGGTTTTGTGCTTTGTAGGATTTTTGATCCGTCCAGGTGACAGGTGGGCCCTAGAAACTGAGAAACTCTATGAAATCACTATTGAAGTCTACGATAAATCAAGCAATAAGATTTACTTGTCTGATGTAAGTGAAATATGGGTATTCCTGTTCTCTTAAATATGTTTGCATGTGTGATGAAACATCAAAATTAATATGATTTCCCTATTGCTTTAGATTAGGATTGAATACAATAAAAAAATAGTGAGGGGTAGAGGTGGGGGGTCTTAAAGTTGGTGATTGATAGTAATAAACTGTTTGAAGCCAAAATCCCCGCTACCAGTTTGTTAAGATTGCAATCTTATTTACCTAGCCTTTCTCCCATGTCTTTAACAACAGACTCAAATATAATTATGTTAATAAAGACATTTTAGGACATTAATTAACCAATGTAGTTTTTCCTTGTATCAGTTATTATTAAAAATCTACAGAATATGGCTAAAAAAGGGAAAGCAACCATAGATAAGCTAGTTACTTAGAAAGGAGTAATAATCAACTGCTATTACTGTTAAGTCATCTATTACTACTCTATCCATAACGTACATTGAGTTACATGTCTGCCAAGCCTTCTCCTGTACTTTAATCTCTGCCCCATATTGATCCTCACAGGAAAAACAGAAACTGAAAGTGTACTGAATAATGTACTGAATGTTATTCCTGTTCATTGATCACACTTGCTTCTTGATTTCAGAATCTCAGAATTGATACACACTTCTCAAACGAATATTTCAAGGTCCTGCAGTCTTCTCTGAATGGGTCATATCACCATGTGAAAGCAATAAAGGAAGGACACACCATTATCAGTGCTACACTGACATCTGTTGTAGATCAGGTATTTTTCTTTAAAGATGAACACTTTAGCCCTATTCAGACATTGTACCTGAAACTATGTTCAAGGCTGGAAGAACAGATGGGACATGGATGTTCACCCTACCCTGTGTCTCCTACCCACCCATTGTCACAAGGACCTTCATGTGAGCAGCATGAAGATATGCAGTAGAAATTTGAAATGTGCCTGGCTCATCTTACATAAAGTGCTCAGAAAATGGAAGCCTTGACATGGGAGTGTTCCAGATCACATGAGTATTTTTATAAGCACATTCCTGTCCCCACTTCAGACCTTTCCATTGCTCATGTAAAGGTCTTGGTGACTTCTAGGTGTAAAAGGAACTCAAATGGGATCTACATGAATCACGCATAGTGGTCTCTTGATACATTTGGAAGTCAGGTAGCCATTATGATAGTCCTCATAGTCAGTTTCTTTGTAAGGAGGTTGAAAAATTCAGATGAGAATCAATTTAATGGTTCTGAACTATCAAAGCAAAACGTTGCATTATAACAGCCTTGGTGACTTCTAGGTGTAAAAGGAACTCAAATGGGATCTACATGAATCACGCATAGTGGTCTCTTGATACATTTGGAAGTCAGGTAGCCATTATGATAGTCCTCATAGTCAGTTTCTTTGTAAGGAGGTTGAAAAATTCAGATGAGAATCAATTTAATGGTTCTGAACTATCAAAGCAAAACGTTGCATTATAACTGAAATGCATTGCAAGAATGTACTGTTTCCAGAAAAACAGGTTTCAGTCCTAGCGTCTGTGAAGATCAGGGGAAGCAGGACACCTCGGGGAGATTTCTGGAGCTTACATTCTGCCAGCCTGGCCTCCATTACACCAGCGTTCTTGTGTTCCTACCAACCTTTTAGAGTTGTATTCAGTTATAATCAGAGATTGAAAATTTTTAGAATTTTTGACCAGTCAGTCAAAAATTTCACCAGTCAGCATGACTGGACGATAACCTTGCAATTTATGTTTGAATTTAAATTTAAACTAGGCACGTTCTACATGACAATGCATACAAACCCAAAATAAATATACCTTCACAATTGAGTTTCTTTATTACCTGCATGCCTGTGGGGTCATGAAGCTTGTATTTTAAATGCCTTTCTTTTGAATGTCTACAGCAAAAATAAAACTGAAAGCAAAAGTGCCCAACCTCTTAAGGAACTAGGGAGTTCGATTGAAATTGGGAGCAGGGAATCTCCATATTCTCCAGCATGGGACTACTCTACATTCTCCTGCAGAGCTATATATCTATGTGCCACTCAAACTCTCTTCTTGCAACTTTATAGTTGCAAGTTTATAACATATTTGTAAGAGCCTCATGGCGCAGTGTTTAAACTGCTGTACTACAGCTAAAACTGTGCTCAAAAACCGGGGTTCAATCCCAGGTAGCCAGCTCAAGGTTGACTCAGCCTTCTATCCTTCCGAGGTCGGTAAAATGAGTACCCAGCTCACTGGGGGGGGGCAATGTGTTGCCTGCATAATTAACTTGTAAACCGCCCAGAGAGTGCTTGAAGCACTATGGGGCAGTATATAAGCAGCACGCTTTGCTTTTGCTCTGTTTTTCCTATTGCAGTGGGAAGGGGGAGGGGAGGACTGCAGGATCAGAGAGAGAGAGAGAGAGACTGAGGGTAAGGAGGCAAGGACGGAGGGAGCTGTGGCTTGTCGAGCTTCATTTTTTCACTCGAGCAGCGTTTTTTCACTCATCACAGACAAGTGGACAAGTGGATTTTTCAAGCCCTGGCTATGATGCTTGAATACAGTTCATGACTTGCATTTGCTTCAGCTTAGAGCCTTAGATCTGAATGCTGTCTAACTGATGACAAATACAATAATTTGACATTCAGACTTCAGCAAAGCAAATAGGAAAGCTTGTTTAGTAGTAGTGAAGAATATCCTACTCCTAAGTCACTGACATATTTGAAGGTAGGTCCCATTAATTACAGTAGGACTTATTTTCTTTATAGTTGCAAGTTTGTAGCATATTTGTAAGTATGTTGCTTGAAAGTATGTAACACTGTATTCAGTGGGACGTCCTCTCAAGTAAATCAGTTTCAGGCTGTTCTAGCCTTCTCATGGTAGCCTGCTCTTTGCTTTCTGAGTCCCTAAACTGTGTTAAGGCTCAAGAGGTGAGCTAACATATATTATACGCCCTCCTAAAGGGGACATAGCACACATATGTTGAGGCAAATGTGTTTTTTCAGTACACTTTAAAATAACAGCTGCATTTCATACGTTTTGTGTGTTTGACATAAAATATTAACATATATAGGTATTTTATACCAGGGGAATCTTGAAGGATGACCATAAGTTGGAGCAGACTTGCTAGTAAATAATTACTAATTATTTATATTTTTCCATGATGCTAATTGCATCTCATGAAAATTTAAAACATTGAACCAACGTATAGAGTAAAGCAAATAGAGGCAATAAAAGTGTTATTGTCTTTGTTTATGCCAGAACAAGGTGGAAGGATCAGCTCACAGGATGCTGTTGTTGCCCATTAGATGCCTGAATGTGCTCTCCATCTTCATGTTTTTTGGGGGTGGTTCCTTCCAATAAAAGCATGTGATGGATATGAAAGATATTTGTCTGATATTAAAGATATATATCTTCAAATAACCTTTCAAAGGACCTGGAAATGGGCACCATGAGAAATAAGCTGTGGCAGCAAAGAAGACCCTTATGTACACCTGACACTGAAAGGAAGAAGTCTCCACTGGGGTGCATATATGCAACAGATGTGCAGAAGAGAGCAGACTCCAGGGCCTAAGAAAAACCTATGCCTCTACTCCGTACACCAAAGAACAGATGAAATCAACCTCATGTTTTTCCTAACACTGCATCTTTTAAAATTGGGTAACCTTTCTAAATGTAATTGTTGCATATTTATTTTAATAGGATGGAGGCGTTCACACATTACCTGTTCCCGTTCAAAACGAACAAGAAGTGGACATTTATGTTCCCATTTCTCTTTCGCCAAGCATTCTGACGTTTCCATGGCAGCCAAAAGCAGGAGCCTATCAATATACAATAAAGGTAAGAGTTGAAAGCAGTCTCAATGGGGAAAACAGCCTGGCTATTGAGTGCATTATTGTGCATTGTTAACTTTTGCAAAAGCAACATTCTTTCTATTAGGGAATGGAGCTTTCGCATTCACCTACAGTTTGACACCTGCTGTTAAAAGAAGCGTTTTGTTTTATGGCAAACTCTTAAGATAAAGGAGCTTTCCTTTTAAACTAAGTAAAACAGCAGAACATGATTTCAGCAGTAGGAAAAGATGAATGGAACACAAGTACAAATACAGTGGTGCCTCACATTACAATGTTAATTCGTTCCAGCGAAATTGCTGTAGAACGAAAACATCGTAAAGCGAAATTAAAAAGCCCGTAGGAACGCATTAAAACCTGTTTAATGCGTTCCGATGGGCTTAAAACTCATCGTCCAATGAAGATCCTCCATAGGGCGGCCATTTTCGCTGCCTGTCTTGTGAGGAAGCCGTCCTTAAACACAGCGTGGAGCCATTTTATTTACCCGGCGGCCATTTTGAAACCGCCAATCAGCTGTTGGAAAATCGTTGTTTTGCGAAGAATCGGTTCCCGAAGCAGGGAACCGATCATCGCAAAGTGAAATTCCCCCATAGGAAACATTGTTTTGCGGTCGCAAAAGCAATCGCAAAAAGTTCATCGTTATGTGATTTCATTGTTAAACGAAGTGATCGTAAAGCGAGGCACCACTGTAGTTCTGGCTTGCCACATGCGGTGCTCCATAAATTACAGCAGCTCCACTGAGTGTTGAGATGATGCTCTGGAGAAAAATTACCCCCTCCCAGGCGCCCTGGCAATGACAAACGTCACTTTCCCACACTAAATTGCAATACTGTAATATTGTGACTGGAAGTCTTTGGGCTATGGTTTTCTTTACAGCAGGTCTTCCAGCCATGGCTGTGTGTGTGTGTGTGTGTGTGTGTGTGTGTGTGTGTGTGTGAGAGAGAGAGAGAGAGAGAGAGAGAGAGAGAGAGAGAGGTTTTGCATTTTCATGCATCCCATTTGCAATGGGAAGGAGGGCAAGCAGAACTATTTTTACATAAAATGTTCCTGGGAAAACCAGATTCTCTTATGGAATCATTTTAAAAACAGCAACAGGTTACTCCATCTAGGGATGAACCTTTAATATTGCTTGCAAAGATGTCCATCCTTTATAGAAATGATTTCTTTCATACATGACACTTATTTAGGAGAAAAATGCCAATCTATTTGTTTGCAGATTCTCTTATGGAATCATTTTAACAACAGCAACAGGTTACTCCATCTAGGGATGAACCTTTAATATTGCTTGCAAAGATGTCCATCCTTTATAGAAATGATTTCTTTCATACATGACACTTATTTAGGAGAAAAATGCCAATCTGTTTGTTTGTTTGACATACTAGAATGTTGACGTTCACTGTGTGTGTGTGTGTGTGTTGTTTTTCTCCTTCTGATCAGCTGCTTAGTTAAAAAATCTCAGACAACAGTAAAGATATGTTTAATTAGTCTAAAATTCTGTACTGGCTGGAAGTAACCTCGAATGAACACAGCCCGACTTATTTTTGAATAATTGTGTGTTGTCAAGTCAATTCAGACTAATGGCAACTTTTCCCAGGGTTTTCTAGGTATAGACTACTCTCTGTCCCTTCTGAGGAAGGCCTGGGGCTATGTAGCTTGTCAAAGGCTATATGCAAGTTGGGACTTCCCTCAGGAAGGACAGCGGAGAATCGAACTCCTGACCTCCATTGCAGCCAAATACCAAGCTCACCTAACTCAATCTATACAACTGACATTAAAAAAAATACATTTGTATTTAAATATGTTTTCTTAGAAGCTTGAATTGCAGTGAACTCTTTATGTATTCCAACTCAAATCAAGATGTAGATGGTAAACTGTATTTGAACCATGAATGCTAATCAGAGGATCATTATGCTAATGAAGATGTAATTCAAGGTGTTTGGAGAGATTCACCAACTAGCCATATTCTTGCTTGTTGCCCAGTTTGGCTGAGTATATCAAGCTGAAGAGGATTTTTATATTCCATTTCAGATTTTTATATTTCAGCCAGTTGAAAGTTTTTATTACTTAGTTTTATTGTAGTGATGTTTAGCTTTTATGTTCTTTTTATTTGGCTGAATGACTGATTTTTATGTCCATCTCCTTGAGATCTTCTTTACAATGAAAGAAGAGTTTATTCATTTTAAAAATAAATGTACTGTACTACAGAAATTGGTTGTCATAGAATCTGTCAAATGTATAATCTAAACCTTCCTGCAAGGTATAGTTTTAACTTTATTCATAGTTTCAGTTTCATGGAATGCGTTTGGCAGTTCAGACCTGGAAAACAAAGTTTACTTTCAATAGTGAAAATATGTCCAGGGAATTTAGCTCTACTTCTCTTTCCTGCCATGTAATGCTGCTAAGAATAATACTACACAGAATTACTTCTCCTACAGCAACCTTTCCATCTGTCTGGCTTACTGTGAGCTGGATAGGAAGAGACCCACAAGAATGAATCTGCATACCGAAGCAGTGCATGGATAGAATGGAAGGATTTGTCGGGGGGGGGGAGGGTGTATTGGATTGTTCTCTTGCTGTTTTTGTCTTTGCTGTAATTAATTATACCTCTCTGGTTGACATTGGCAGTATGCTGTTTGTTGTGGGGAGAGAGCTCTGTGCTTCTGGATTTTTATGCAACTATGGAACTGAAACAGATGGTATGCATGTCTGATATCCGTAGCATACAGAGCTACCCTGCTGCTTAATGTTCAAGGCCGTTCATCTTCCTAGAGTCGGTGGTTACAAAAACAATCCAAACTGTATCTTCTTGTTTCACCCACAAATGTGAAATCAAGTTACCATTCTGAAAATTCTCCTGACTCCATTGTGACTTTAAAGAAGAGACCTAATGACACAGTTCCTGGATCTGTAGAGATGCCAAGCTGCAAAGCTGTTCAGACTTCTGGGAGGATTCTCGTGAATACAGGCACTCTTCGTTGTTGTCAGTGACTGACTTGTGATGAATTTCTGGAGCCAGGAGTATTCGCAGCTGACCTCCCCTTAAGGCTAAAAATAAAGACATGGTGACAGCAAGAAATCAATTTCCTGCCTTTCTGCTGCCCTCCCTCTTTTCTTTCTTTTTTGCTGTTTACACTTCTGAGCAGTTCCCATCGGTAGGGAACACTTTCAGAGTGCACAGGTTAGCTGCTCTGAGACCTAAATTCATTCAGTTGGCTGTCTTGCAGACTTCAGTAAAAGGAAATTAATCTGAATTGTTTAAAAAAATACAGTAATCCTAGCAAGTGGGGCTCCTATTGTGCTGACTTTTGAAATGATCTGCTGACTACAGCCACTATTAATCACTAAAGTACCTTTATGTATCAAACATTTTTGCGGGAGAGGAACTACCAGATTTGGAGAGATGCCTTGTAGCCTTAATAAAAGGGGGCAAAAGATTTCTATGGAAAGAAACATGGGGTTAAAACAAAGCAGCCTGTGGAATCTTGGGATTCTAGTTTAGCCAAAGAATGTTTATCTCCATATTTCTGATTAGTAGTTCTAATTTGAAGTCTTGGACCTATTTCTACAGTGGCTAATTAAGGCTATATCTTGCCAACCAAGGTAAATTCATCATTCTGATTTTCTTTGTTTTTTGTCGTCTAGGCTTCCGGCGGAAGTGGCAATTTCACTTGGTCTACATCTAGCCAAAATGTTGCTACGGTAACTGTCAAGGGTGTAATGACAACTGGAAGTGAGATTGGTGTCAGCATTATACATGCCAGTGATGTCCAGAATCTGTTGCATTACGGGGAAATGAAGGTAAATAAGACTGACTTTGCTCTCTCTTGCAAGAAGCCATTATGAGGGATGGAAAAGAAGGCCACCTTTGCTCTCATTCAAGAAGCAGAAGATCTCTTAAGTTTTTTTCAGCCTCTAAGGAGTTTTATTTGTAGCTTTCTTTTCACAAGAGGGAACTCCCTTATGAGTTTTATTTAAAGGCAGATGCAGTCTAGACTGAGACCTTTACACCTCACTAAAAACTTAGTTTGGTCTGGTTTAGTTTGTTGGTATGTTACCAACAAACTAAATCACAACCCCAAGGCAGATGGCAACATAAATATTTAAAAATAGATACAATTAAAAACATCTATAGTAAATTACAAAATTAAAATACTGTTAAGTGGATTGCCACATTAAAATTGCATTTTGAAAGCAGCTGGGGTCTGTAATAAGTATACCCTACAGGGGAGCCCTGGGATCCTGCAGATTGTTGATGAATTACTGCTCCCATCACCTCTCATCACTAGTCTGTCTGGGGCTTAGAGGACTTAAGAGTCCAGCAACATTTCCAAACACTGTTGTAAATGCTAACTGTTACTATATCCAAGTGGAAAAGAATGGAAAGGATACTGAAAGGAGCCTCGCGGCACAGTGATTAAACTGCAGCACTGCAGCCAAAACTGTGCTCACAACCCATGGTTCAGTCCCAGGTAGCCGGCTCAAGGTTGACTCAGCCTTCCATCCTTCCGCAGTTGGTAAAATGTGTACCCAGCTTGCTGGGGGGGGCAATGTGTAGCCTGCATAATTAACTTGTAAACCACCCAGAGAGTGCTTGAAGCGCTACATGGCGGTATATACGCAGCATGCTTTGCTTTGCTTTGCTTTGCTTTGCTTTGCTTTGCTTTGCTTTGCTTTGCTTTGCTTTGCTTTGCTTTTATTTATTTATTTATTTATTTATTTATTTATTTATTTATTTAAAGCTCTGTATCCTTTCTGCAAGACTTGGATATACTCTAGTGGAAAAATGCAAACACACACACACAAAGCTGCCTTTCGACTGATCAAGAGCACTTCTGTCTTGTCTGGATTAAGTTTCAGTTTATTCACCCTTATCTGGCCCATTACTAATATCAGATACTGATCTAAAACTGAGATGGCTTCCTTGGATTTAGATGGGAAGAGATAGAGTTCGGTGTCTGCATGCTGCCGTTTTCCCAGCAGTTTCATGTAGACGTTAAATAGCATAAGGGACAAAGCTGAACCCTCAGGGACACCACAAATAATGGCCAGGGTGTTGAGCAGAAATCCCCCAACACCACCCTGAGTTCTCCCCCTCTAGGAAGGACTGGAGCCACTGTAAAACAGTGCCTACCAAGTCCCATCCCAGAGAGACAGCCCAGAAGAATACCATTGAAAGCTGCTGAGAGGTCCAGCAGAACGAACAGGGACAAACTCCCCTGTTCGGGTCCCGGTGTATCATTCACCAAGGTGACCAAAGCTGTCTCCATCCCATATTAAGGCCTGAAGGCAGACTGAAATGGAGCTAAATAATCCCTCTCAGCCAGTAACCCCTAGAGCTGAGAAGGAAAAAGCCACTCCAGCACCTTGTCCAAGAACTGGGATATTGGAGAGTGTCCAGTGATTATCTGATTCCATTGTGTCCAGGGTTTTTTTTCCAATAGTGGTCTTATTACTGCCTCTTTTAAGCATGCTGGGATCATACCCTGCTGCAAGGAGGCATTAACTTCTCCTCCTACCCATTTGGCCAGTCACTCTCTGGCTTCTTTTATAAGCCAGAAAGGGCAAGGGTCCAACAGACAAGTGGTAGCCTTCACCTCTCCAAGGGTCCTGTCCACATAATCAGGCTGAAGAAATTGAAACTTATCCATTGACATAGGACAAGCTATAGTTATATCCACAGGACCTATATTAGCTAGAACATCAAGGCAGAGAGATCCAAGGAGTTTTGCCTGCAAAGTGCCATGCAAATTCATCACAGCTAGCTACAGTCCAGTCTGCATTATCTTCCTGGGGGCCAGCATATAATAAGTCCTTGACACTGTGCAGACACAAAGGTGACAAAGAAGAATGACTTCTTCGCTACTGCCACAGAAAAGGCCTTCCAGTGGGCTTCTAGCACATGTTCTATTGGATTAACTTTGATTTTTCTCCCATTGTTGCTCTAGTCACTTCACTTTGTCACCATCCCCAATAAACTGAGGGGCTAGTTTGACCCTACTTCATGGGAGGAGACACTTAGGAGCAGTTCTGTCAGCAGCCCTGTCCATTTCCCCATTCCAAAAATCATTCAAAACTTCAACAGAATCACTTGCCAAGGTAATAGGAAACTTTCCCAAGAGCCATTGTTTGGATCCATCTGCCTCCTGGGGCAGACCATCTTAATCTGTCCCATCCCTCCATGCAGAGGCTCTGAGGTCCAGTGAGTTTAAACCCTATCAGATGATGATCTTACATGACAACAGAACTACAGAGAGTTGCTTCACACCCATATCAGCAACATCTACTCCAGTACAGAAAACCAGTGTGTCTTGGAGCATGAGTGGAGGCAGATACCATTTGGGACAGGCCCATGGTTGTCATGGAGGATGTAAAGTCCTGAGCCACTCCTGACAAAGCTGCCTCAGCATAGATGTTGAAGTCCCCCAGCACAATAAGCCGAGGGGACTCCAACACCACCTCTGAGACCAGCTCAGCTAGTTCACGAAGGCAGACTGTTGTGCAGCACGGTGGGCAGTAAACCAATGGAATTCCTATTCTGTCTTTAAATTACAAACATTCAGACCCAGAAAACGGGGATGTGACCCCTGGTGAGAGGGATGGACCAGTACAATTCTCCACCTTCCTGTCCCATGTGTCTTGCTTGCTGCTCCACAGAAATCCCTGGTGGACAAAGCTGAGTGAGAGCGACACTCCCAGCCTTGTCCAACTCTCTGTAATGAAAGCCAGATCAGCCTTTCATCCAGGACAAGTCCTAGATGGCTGTTGTTTTCCCATTGACCAACCTGGCATTTCGCAGCAGTATTTTCAACCCAGGGTTTCTGACACCCAAGCTATCCTAGCTATTTAAATTGAGGGGCAGCTTAAGTAAAGGTAAAGGTTCCCCTTCACAAATGTCCAGTCGTGTTCGACTCTAGGGGGCAGTGCTCATCCCCGTTTCCAAGCCATAGAGCCAACATTTGTCTGAATACAGTTTCCGTGGTCACGTGGCTGGCGCGACTAGACACGGAACGCCATTACCTTCCCACCGAGGTGGTACCTATTTATCTACTCACATTTACATGCTTCCGAACTGCTAGGTTCGCAGGAGCTGGGACAAGTGATGGGAGCTCCCTCTGTCACGTGAATTCGATCTTACGACCACTGGTCTTCTGACCTTGCAGCACAGACACCTCTGTGGTTTAACCCACAGCACCACCACATCCCTGAGGGACAACTTAGTGGCAACCAATACCCTTTCACCCTTTTCTCTCACATGATGCTTTAGCTGCTGTTCTCTACCGTATCTAACCCTGCCCTGAACAATTGCAGTTTCTGCTTCCTGGCTACCCCCACTATTCTCCCTCCCATAAGAAAACATCCCTCCACAAGCAAGCAAACTCCCCATGTTTGTGAAACACCATATTTGCGAAACGTGCTCTCTTGTGATAAATACCCATGTATGATGTTGGCATACAGTGGGGTTTAAAGAGCTCCCCCCCCCCGTCAAATGTCCACATGATTTCCCAAGAAGCTGAATTTTCACGTAGATTGGGTTCTAATATGTACAGTTTTCTTTAAACAAAGATTTGGCTGAGTCATGATAGAACTGATTCTTTAGCATCTGGAATCCATTATATTTTTAATGTATATAATAATAGAAATAGGTTTTCCATGTAAATTACTGCACATCTCTCTGTCAGAAAGATGGTCATTTCTGGACCATGGTAATAGAGGAACTACTAGCCGCTCAGAGTGGTTGCATAGACCAGATGGGCGGGATACAAATCAAATAAATAAATAAATAATAAATAAATAAATACCAGAACGTCATATGATTACATTAACATTGTCTGCCATCCTAGTCAATTATTTGAATCCTTTGAATTCTGCAGAGTCTGTATTACAGTTTGTTTTTGTTTGTTTGTTTCTAAAAAAACATTTTGCTGTGGTATGTTTTTCAGGGATGTGATATAAACTTCATGAAAAATTATCCATTAAACAGCTATCTTTGGTGTTTAAAAAAAAGAGTAAAGGGAATTTCAGGAAAAACCTTCCTAAATGAATATAACTGCTCCAGAGCAGTTGCATATAGTCTTAGAAATCCATAACAGCTTTTCCTCAATTTATTTTAAGTAGTACATCTGGCTTCCCGAATGTAGTCTAAATGGACTTTAAACATAGTGGTTAAATATTAAGTCATAATATTCTGCTCCTTCTTAAACCATTATTGAAGCAAGATGATGGTTCCTTTCTAGTCTCATGCTGATGTATGGACCATACAGTAGCTGTGTCGCAGAGATGTCAATTTTCAGCAAATTATCATTGCCTGCAGGAGGCTCAGAAATGATGTGTTTAATTAAAACTTTACTTTTAGATTCATGAGTCAGGGCACACAGCAATAGGAGTGTACAGGAATGAGCATTAAATGAAATGAGCACCTTTAATTTAAGATTTTAACTGCCCTTGCTCAAGCTTTGCATCGTGCGTTTGAAGCAAGCATCTGTCTGCTGACCTTGATTAAGGGGTTATGCAAGTAGTCTATAAGTTTCATGAGGATTACAATTTTAACACCGTACCATATGGCCCTCAATTTAACCTGAAGCATTAGACAGATGGCTTGAAAAGTTAGACATGCCAAATGAAATCTTTGATCAAGCAGTTGTTATGAAATGATTGCTATCCATCTGTGATAGTTCATTTAATGATAACTTAGGAATAAAATACAAACATACCATTCAAGCATCTGTTTATCCCTATATTTGAGATGGTATTTCTTCAAGTAGAAAATACAGTCTTGAAGTTCTCCCCACAGTCCACAGGCAACTGGTATGTGCAGGAATTCCTCTGTGCCCTCAAATATCCTCATGGACTTTAATGGCCCTTGAAGTGCCGCAGATACTTTCCCTTTCAATTATACCAGAAGAAAAAGTCCTTGTGTTAGTATATGTCATGCAAACACCAGAACCAGTAGGATTCAATGTGATTCACCAGTTTTGTCCCTGCTTAGATGTGTGCAGATATGAGCGGTGACATATACTCATACAGTTCTTTCCAGCCATTAGTAATTGTTCTGAAGAGCTGTTCTGGGCATGCGTTTATGGTTCACTAACTTTATGGTGCTAAATAAAGGGCCTTATTTCTAGTGGACCTGTCAGTACTTAACTGTACTTATCTCCCTCAGGAAATTAATTTAACTTTCTCATAGTGTGTTTTTAAATATGTTTTAAAGATCTAGCTATTGACATCAGCATGTACCTGATTAATCTGAGAATCACCCATGTATTCTTACGTATTTTCCCCTCGGGCTTTGTTTTGTTTTGAGGTTTGTTTGCTTGTTTGAAATAGGTTTTGTACATTTGCTTGTTTGTTTGTTTAAATTCTGTCCCACACCATCTAGTGGTGTTGCCACTACTCTGGGTGGCTTTCAACAATAAAATAAATATAAATAACGCACCCCCCACCCAACCCTCAAATATAAAAATATAAAAGGAGAACAACATTCCTAAGAATCCAAGATGGAGGCAACAGACAAGATACAAACTAAAAAAAATAGTTAATAATAGTTAATAACTATCTTAATTATGATTTTAGTGTGTAGATTTCCTTAAAGCCAAATTTAGTTATGTCTTGTTAAGAAAACCCTCATAGGGTTTTCTAAAGTGCTCACAAGTTTACTTCCTGGTGGTGATCTGGGCCCTTGCAGCTTCCCCAGTGGCACAGAGGTGGCAGGGGTTGGTCAACAGCCAGACATGGTCCAGATGGGTTTTTTCCCCAGGAGGGACAGCAGGAATTCAGATTCCCTTCCTAGATCCGCGGCCAGAAGCTTTGACCAGCTGAGCTATACCACCTGTCTCAAAGCCAGGTATAATAAATATAGAAACAATTAAAACAAATAACAGGAATAAAAGAAGAAATCAGATCTTTTGATAGCTAAAGTTTTCTTTCCCCACTGGCCAAAACTGGTTAACTAGATTATATGCCCTCATAAGTGGGCTTCGAGTTTGCATAGACAGCATCCAAAATGCTTAGCGACTTCTATGTGATATGTGGTGGTTCACAAGGAGCTGTTATACTATCCTTACATTTCCCTCTGCACAGCTCCAGAAAGGAGTCTGATTGCTGTCTATCCTTTTCCCCCTGGTACTGTGTTTGTGGGATTACTTTCCTGTCTCATAGATCATAACACCCAGTAGCAGGTTGTATGCGCACTATCATATTTTTGTATTTTAATTTAATTGTACATATGCCAACATTTCTGCACCAGGAAGCACATTGTCCAGATAAGGTAGGGATTTCATCCAAAATGGCAGACCAAACTCCTCAGTTCAGAGCACAAGCCATCAAAATTAGAACTGATATAAGTCTGAATGCATAGGTGTTTAAAAATATTTCATTCCTTTTTTCATTTCTGAAAGAGAGAGAGAGATCAGTGTGTGTGTTACTCATAGTCCTACTAGAAAACATCATAATCTCATTCTGAGCAATGAGCTGAGATGAATAAAGTAACAGAAATACATTATTCTGTTACTCCTTTTGATTATAGAAATGGAGCATAGGCATCTTCAAAGTCAGCATATTATGAAAAAAGACATACACCAGCAAAAAGAGAGAGAGAGAGAGAAGAGGGAACACTAAAATCTTGCTGGGAAGAAAATCAGCCCTGGGAGCCTGTTACATTAGCAACGGTGTAAAATATTGATAATATTGTTAATATGCAGTATTTAGGAATTTTGTATTAAATTTTGAGAAAAGTTAGAGGTAGAAATAAAATTTGAGGTTCTTAAATTATAGAGAACTCTCACAAGTGCAGAAATATATGACTGTTGCTACCAAATATATAGCAAACAAACGAAAACATCCTTGTTTTCGGTACATTACAAGAAAGTGTCTAGATTCTGTTGAGTTCATGGCATGCATTGAGGTCCACTAGGAATTCTTTGGTGAGTCTAGGTTTGGGGAAAATGTCAAAAAAGAGAAGCATTTTGTCATTCCTGTAACACTGTCCATCAGTACAAGCAGAGAGTGAAACAGTGGTCAATGGTATACTGATCTGACGATTTAGAGACGAAAAAGGAACTGAGTTATTACCTGCTTCTTTGTACCTCAGAAAAGAAGTAGAACTTCAGTTTATGGCCAAAATTTGGAAAAAGTAGGACTTTCTTCAGGAATTCATTGTTCTTCCATGGTCTGCTCAGTCTTCCTGAAATACCTAATACAGTACAGTATGTGCATTAAAACATGCTGATGTGTATTCCATATATCTGCCTTTGGGTAGATTCCTGTGGTTCCCTTTTTCATAGCTTGCAAAGTTACCTCTAAGAAGAATGAACATGATGACACACTGAAGCCATCCATAACTGAAAAGTGTTGGGATGATGCTCTGAGCCCCAGAGCATCATCCTACAACCACTCAGTTACATACAACTTCAATATATCACTGTGTTTAATATTCTTAAAGGTAACTTGCCATTTTTGCTATAATTTGGACTATAAATAAGAACAAAGAAGAATTATGCATCTTTGTAAGCAGAGCTGTGTGCATATGTTTGTACAACTGAGAGTCTGTAGAACTGTAGATGCTTGTATCATATTCACGTCTGACTATTACAGAGTTTTCTCACTTAGTGAAACATAGGTAAATTTTTTGAAAAATTTCAAAAGAGATAATCTAAGGAACTTGTGTTTTGGAGTGTGTGAATGTTTCCATCCAGGTTTTGTTAATTTTCTCTTGTCTGACCTTTCTATTTTACCTCCTTGTTTTCTAGGTCTATGTGACAGAACCCAGTGGCATGGAATTCACACCATGTCAAGTTGAAGCACGTGTGGGTGAAATACTGGAGCTGCCTCTGAGGATTAATGGCTTAATGAATGAAGAAACCACTCAGGTGGTCACCTTGAGTGACTGCTCACATTTTGATCTCGTTGTTGATGTTGAAACCCCCGGTGTGTTCAGTCCAATACAAGGTGACTTAAAAGGAATTCATCCATGTTGGCTTTAAAGTTAATGCTTTTTTTAAAAAAAAATCTGTTTATAGCAGTGTGAAATCTTGTGCAGTGTGCATAAAAACATAGGACATAAGTGATGAGCTAAGCTATCACACAAGAAAGGCTGCCTGAACTCAAAGACCTTGTTCCCCTCCCACACTTTTAAAAACATTGCACAAACACCTTACATCTTAATGTCCTGTTCTTGTTTGCTTTTCTTAACAGGGAGACTAAAGCCAACTGCTGAGTTCTGCAGTGGGGTCAGAGTAAAGGCTGAAGCCCAAGGATACACAGTGCTTATAGTTAGCTACATCCATGATCATATACACCTCAGTGCCAGCATCACCATAGCTGCCTACCTGCCATTAAAAGTAAGTGGTTTTTGTTTCCAGTTTCAGTTGTTTTTTTCAAGGTAATAATGAATTGAGCAAAAACTTCTTAGTTTCCACTCAGAATTAAATTAGTTTATTTATTAGTTTAATTATTTAAGGATTATGAAATGTGCAGCCTGTTGGAGCCACAACTAACCTTTGAGATAAAACATACTTTTCATTAATGTTGCTGTAATATATAATTGGAAAGATACAGTGTTTATATAATACAGAGTCCTTAATAAGTGTACCTTGTACATATTAGGTTTGATCTGCTGTGTCCTGAATTCCTGTGGAGCAGAATTCTAGCTGCCATTTGCTTGAATAGATAGATACCATATTACTTCTAAATGTAGATTCCTCTCTTCAGAAAAAGGAAATTGTGTCGGTGCACATCCCTAAATGTAATTTTTAAGAATTCAACTAAGTTAGCATTATTTCATCTTTGAGATAATGTCTTTTCACATACTTTTAGACAGAGGCCACAAGGTCTGCCCCTTCTATGTTGTATATAGGGCTGCAGTAAACTGTGGATAACTGAAACCGTGTATACAGATCCCGTAGATATGGAGGTCTTACTGTACTTACAGTTCTTTAAAAAAGAATACATGGAAAATATGTTGAATGCACCTGACAGTCAGACAGATATCTCTAAACATATTTACCTGGTACATCTATTAAACAGAGTAGAACATATTTCCTTCTGCCAAAATGTGATTAAGATCAGATTAGTATGAATGTAAGCAGTCTGGTCAAGATCATATTTAATCGAACTGTATGCCACTCATTGACAAAGTGCAAATGGCTTGTCATTTCCAGAGCCTGAATGTGGATCTGTCCCATATTTCAGCCTTCATTTGTCCAGTATGGACAGGATTGGTTTTAAACATAACGTTGGACCTGTATCTAAAACTCTGGGTGGATTCCTACCCTTTTTTATTGATCCATTTTCACAAGTGACATCAAAAGAGAATAAAAAAAAATAAAAAAAATTCCACTTAAAGACCAAATTTTTGTTTGGCATAAAGTGTTGTGGACTACTTGATAAGAGCAAAGAATTTTGCCAGGTTGCCATATTATTATACATTAACGTGAGGGTGCATATGTAGCTAGGATTAGAGGAAAATAAAATTCAAAAAGTACAAATCCTGCCTATATATAAGCATACTGACACATCTCTGTGTGTAAAGAAATACAGTATACATTACATAATATACACTATGAATGAACGGAATATTAATACAAAATAATTAGCATTACTCAATAAAAAATTAAACAGTGTAGAAAAAGACAATTTTTACTTATTTTCCTGATTATAATACGAAAATGCTCTCCTTCACTCCAGGAACTTGCAGTGAGTCAGTTTGTTTAAAAATGACAATGAAACTGAATTCTCCTGTCACCCTATCTGTGGTAAATCCTATTATGTTCAGTGAGGTTAACTCTCAAAAGATACTGTACTGATTTACATCCCAAAAAGTATTGCTTAGTAGTACAACTAGCAAATCCATGTAGGTTTTGTTCCAGGATTCCATTAGAGGCTGCTAACATTACCTACTTCTAGGGACCTCATTCCATAGCAAGCACAGGAAAAGAGATTAACTTGATGATGTGACAGAATGATAAAAAAATAAAATCTTGTATTGACATCAGGCTGTTCAGTACAGAAGATTATTTAGTTTGTGTCTGCATTCAGTTGATGAGAACGATGAGAACGATCTACAGTGGTGCCTCGCATTACAACGTTAATTCGTTCCAGCGAAATCGCTGTAGAACGAAAATGTCGTAATCCGAAAATAAAAAACCCATTGAAATGCATTAAAATCCTTTAAATGCATTCCAGTGGGCTAAAAACTCACCGTCCAGCGAAGATCCTCCATAGGGCGGCCATTTTTGGTGGCTGTCTTGCGAGGAATCTGTCCCAGAAAACAGCAGGGAGCCATTTTATTTACCCGGAGGCCACTTTGAAACTGCTGAGCAGCTGTAGGAAAATCGTCGTTTTGCAAAGAATCAGTTCCCGAAGCAGGGAACCAATCATCGCAAAGCAAAAAAAGCCTATTCAGACTATCGTTTTGCAACTGCAAAAGCGATCGCAAAAACATCATTGTAATGCAGTTTCGTTGTAATGCAGGGCAATCGTAAAGCAGGGCACAACTGTATACTGAATGTGGCTGCTTAATGACTTATGTTGAATTAATTTAGGTGCAGTTCAGAACCTCTAAGATATACCCTTCATAATTTGAATAATTTCATGCCATATTCCATTATATCATATCTGAATTTTTTTCTGTTTATCCTCCGTAAAGAAATCAGAACAGCATACATTAAAAACAATATAAACACACATATACAATAAAGTAAGAAAATAAAGTAAAGAAAGTTCATCAAAGTACCTAAGATGCCTATTCTTGTTTTAGGTTAAACATAAAGATTGACAGGACAGCAGTTTTATTTTTCATTATAAAGGAAATGCTTTTTATTATCATGCATTGTTTGCGGCATTTCAAATTATGGTCTTTCCCCCCCTAGACTGTTGATCCTGTTTCTGTAGCCTTGGTAACTTTGGGATCCTCCAAAGATGTATTATTCGAAGGTGGACCCAGGCCATGGGTTCAAGAGCCATCCAAGTTCTTCAGGGACAGCAGTGCTGAATATCCAGTGAATGTTGGTTTATCCATATTAGGACCACCTACAACTAGGAATCCTTTCCAGCATTGGCTTACAGCATCTTGCAGAGCCCTCGGAGAACAAGTGAGTAAGAAAGATGTATATGATAACTGTTGCTGGGCATGTTTCTGAGCCCAAAGTTACTTAAGGGAAACTGATTTAATAGTTAGGTACCCAGTATGGTGTATTGAAAAGAAAGATGGGTTAGGATCTGGAGATTAGAATTCAAATCCATACTTGGTTATAGAAACTTATTGGAAGTGTATAACTAATAAAACCACTCCTGAATATCTCAGTTGTATTGAAAGCGCTATTAGGGTGACTATAAGTTAGTTTGACTAACTTTAGTGGACAGCTGAGGAGATAAGTCTTCAAAGACTTGCACTGCAAATAGTAAAAAGACAGAATGAAACTGGAACATTTAAATAGTTTATTTTTTTCATATACTCTTTTGCATCTACTACCGCTCTCAAGAGTGAAGTTTTCTTCAGAGTTCTAAAATTCTTCAAACATAGTTAGAAAACAAAACAAAAAAGTAAATAACAAGTGTACAACAATACAAAGATACATCATGCAATTATAATTTCAAATAAGAGTATTTTTGTTCATGCAATTTATGCCCAACCACTTGTACTAAAGAACATATAGTAAACAGCCGAGATAAAGCTATTCAAGTAACCTGTGTATGGTAAAAAAAAATAATCTATTCATGTTTACATTTTAAAAATTTTTGAACTTTATCTGTATTTCATATCCTTCTATAATTTTAAAGTGCACGAGACTGTAAAATGAATAAAGAAAGAAGGAAGAATCAAAGAAATAAGTTGTGGCCATCTAAATATTCCAGAGGTTCATCTTGTCTTGTGTGGCCACATTAGGTCAATTAAGCATGATTAACTGCAAAAGTGTCTCAGATTTTCAGCACTGCACAGGAAATAGTATACATTTTACTGAGTCTCCCTGACCAGATGCACCAGGTTCATTCTTAAATGATTGTTACTTGCTTATGGATAGTGATCTCTTAATAATTGTCTGGTGTAACTGGATTGCAAAATTATTCTATTGTTGTTGTTTAGTCATTAAATCATGTCCGACTCTTCATGACCCCATGGACCAGAGCATGCCAGGCCCTCCTGTCTTCCACTGTCTCCTGGAGTTCGGTCAAATTCATCTTGGTAGCTTTGATGACAGTGTCCATCCATCTGTCATCCTCTTCTCCTCTTGCCTTCACACTTTCCCAACATCAGGGTCTTTTCCAGGGAGTCTTCTCTTCTCATGAGATGGCCAAAGTATTGAAGCTTCAGCTTCAGGATCTGCCCTCAGGGTTGATTTCCTTCAAAATGGATAGGTTTGTTCTCTTTGCAGTCCAGGGGACTCTCAGGAGTCTCCAGCACCACAATTCAAAAACATCAATACTTCGGCGGTCAGCCTTCTTTACAGTCCAGCTCTCACTTCCATAGATCACTACTGGAAAAACCATAGCTTTGACTGTAGACCTTCGTCAGCAAGGTGATGTCTCTGCTTTTTAACCTATCTAGGTTTGTCATTGCTTTCCTCCCACTTTAAATTTCATGGCTGCTGTCACCATCATGGAGCACAAAAAAGAAAGATCTGTCGTTGCCTTCATATCTTCCCCTTCTATTTGCCAGGAGGTGATGGGACCAGTGGGCATGATCTTAGTTTTTTGTTGTTGTTGTTGTTGACCATTTTTGGCACTCTCCTCTTTCACCCTCATTAACAGGTTCCTTAATTACTCCTCACTTTCTGCATATCTGAGATTGTTGATATTTTTTCCAGCGATATTAATTCCAGAGTGGGATTCATCCAGTCCTGCCTTTGGCATGATGTATTCTGCATAGAAGTTCAATAAGCAGGGAGACAATATACAAACTTGTCATACTCCTTTCCCAATTTTGAACCAATCAGTTGTTCCATATCCAGTTCTAACTGTTACTTCCTGTCCCACATATAAATTT